TTTTCTTGCCCAGGAGTGAATTTGGAATCACATTAGTTTTCAGGTTTCTTGAGTTTCCTGTCATCTGGAACCCTTCCTCAGCTCTTCTTTGTCTTCCATAATCTTGGCTAATTTAGAGATTTATTTATTTATTTACTTATTTTGCTATAGGGCACGTGTGCTCACCGTAGAGACAGAGAGAGAGAAAGTGAGAAATCACACCCCAGGGGGATGGCCATTCCACAATCCCTCTCTTCTCAGGATTTGGGCACTCATGCACATGGGCCTGGCATGAGTTTTAAGCCGCTGAGTTCAGGACTTGAACCGCGGTTGACTACATGGGAGTCCAGCAATGTAACCATTACACTATCTGCTGGTTCCGATCTTAGTTATTTTTAAAATTTGGCATAGGGGGCAATCCTTCCTCCGCCATCCTCCTCTAGGGATTTTGGGCATGCATACAGATAGTGCCCAGCGTATTTTACAAGGCAACAAGTCCCAGACTTGAACCATAGGATCCAGCCGCCCTGCTACAATGCCAACAGTTGCCCCTACTTTACTCTTTTGAACAGTCTTTATTGCTGTGTTTAAATACTTGTGAGAGGATGTTGAGGCTGACACGTGCGCCTCAGTTTGCTGGCTTTACCTTCAATTCTTTATAGTGCACAGTTAGAACAGGCCTTTCTGTTTGTGAAGGTCTTTTTTCCTCCAGCATCCCTTTGCATCCCATTCCTTAGCAATTACTAGTGGTGTTTGGTATGCATTTCATATATTCTAATATTAATTATGTGTGTATCTTTTTTATGCCATATATTTTTGTTTCTTATTTTAAAAATTTTTGCCAGGCCAGCAGGTGGTGTGGTGGTTAAGGCACTGGAATGCCCACATGGTCAACCACGGTCCAAGTCCTAGACTTGGTGGCTTACTTTCTAACTTTCTCTCTCTCACTCTCATGTGAAATAAATAAATAAATGAATGAATAAAATAATTCTTAAATTTTTTTTCTTTTTTTCTGAGGGCACATATGCTTGCCAGAGAGAGACAAGAAGAGGGAAAATGAGAAAACACCTCCCATCCTGTGGGGTATGGTTGTACCGTAATCCTTTCTCCACTTCTCCCCCTTCTGGGATTTTGGCCCACAGCATACACGCTCAACATGTTTTTCAAGCCTCTGGGTCCAGGATATGAACCATGCAGTTGGCCATGTGGGATCCGGCCGCACTAACCACCATGCCAGGGGATAGGCCTGTTTTTTCTTTTTTAAAAATACTTTCTTTATTCAGGACAGAGCATGTGAGTGCAACTGAGAAAGAAAGAGAAAGGGATGAGCACGTCCCAGCAGGGTCTGGTCCTATAGCCAGCCTTCCCACCTTCAGATCTTGGGCATTTATCGGGTGTATTTCAAGGTGACCGGGCCAGGGATTCGAACTGTCATAGCCATGTGGGATCCAGCCCCTTCTGAGCAGTGCCCTTCCCTGCATCACAGAGCTGGCTTTGCATTTTTAAAGATTTCTGTCTTAGTACGTCCTCCTAGCTTCCATCATCAGTGCATGAAGAACTGCCTCGTTTCTTTTTTTTTTTTTAAATAATTATTTTGTTTAACTTTATTTATCTTAATTTGACCAGAGAGGGACAGAGAGAGAGAGAAAGCCACCAGGTCTGTAACGCAAACCATAGCGGGCCGTGTGGGAGTCCAGCGCCCTTAACCAGCACGCCACCTGCTGGCCTCAAGCCTCATTTGTTTGAATGCCCGTGTGCTGTCTGCAATACAGAGATGAATTAATACCTGCTCACTGTCTACGGTATAGGATCTTTAGTGGGCATTGTTTGTAAACAAGTCATCTGAACATGAATACAAACCTGTTTACATTCATTTTGTTTACTCTTAGGTCTCTTTTAACTAAATGCCAAAAAATAGTTTGTTCAATAAAGTATTTCAAAATCTCATAGGGAACCAGCAGTTAGTGTAATGGCTATGTCGCTGGACTCCCACGGTTCGTGTCCTGGACCCGGTGGCTTAAAACTCACGCCGGGCGCGTGTGCATGCGTGCCCAAGATCCCGAGACGAGAATGGAGGAGAAGGGATTGCGGCGTGGCCATCCCCCCTGGGGGGTGATTTCTCGCTTTTTCTCTCTCTCTCTTTCTCTGTCTGTCTGGCAAGCGCACGCACCCTATTGCAAAAACCTCTCAAAAAAAAAAAATCTCATAGACTTCCTGATTGCCTCATAAAAAGGTTGTTCCAACCTATAGTCCCCTAATGGTTTATGAGATTCACTTATTTTTTTACACCTTTCCCAGTGCTGGCCTGTTACCAAATTTTTAAAGGGTTTTATCACTCTCATGGTTAAAAGATTGTATCACTTTTTGTAATTTCTTTGTAATTTCTATTTTCTTATGACATATACTTTAAAATGAGGTCAAACATTTTTAAAATATGCATTCTTTCTTGAGCTATGAAGAATAAATCTTATAATCTTCTTGTGTGAGGGTAAAAATGAATTTTTGCTAAATATGGGTTGGAACATATTTGGCATCTTTCTAGTTAAGTAAAATGCAATATTTGAAGCTTTAGCAGGATACATGTTACATACTGGGGTGTTTCTTTTTTTTTAAGAGTTATTTAATTTTATTTATTTATTCATTTATTTTTAAAAATTTGACCAGAGAGGGAGACACACACACACACACACACACACAGAGAGAGAGAGAAAGTGAGAAAGCATGTGACCAGATCCAGGACTTGAACCATGATTGGCTATGTGGGAGTGTCCAGCACCTTAACCACCACGCCACCAGCTGACCCCTTTATTTCCCCCTTCTTCCAGGCAGTTGATATTCTCTTATTGGTCTATCTTGTTGTTTTTGATGGTTCTTTTTGGTTGTTCCTCTGTGATAACAAAATCCATAATCTTTTCCATGAGAAGTTATATGAAAGATTTCTGCCTTCAGTTTGTGGGGGCCAGAGAGGCAGGGTAGTGTCTGTTGTCTTCAGAGTAAAATCTTGCACTTTATCGTTTAATAGCATATGTTCTAGATTTCCACTTATTATTTTATGAAAAATCCCTCTGTAAGGTTCTTTTTTTTGAGAGTGTTTTTTTTTTTTTCTCTATAGGGCACATGCGCTCGCCAGACAGACAAAGAGAGACATAGAGACAGAAAGCGAGAAATCACCCCCCAGGGGTGATGGCCACGCCGCAATCCCTTCTCCATTCTCCTCTTGGGATCTTGGGCACACACGCACACGTGCCCGGCGTGAGTTTTAAGCCACCGGATCCGGGACACGAACCGCGGTCGACTACGTGGGAGTCCAGCGACATAGCCATTACACTAACTGCTGGTTCCCTGTAAGGTTCTTTTTAAAAAACTTTATATTGATTTATTTTAATTTGACCAGCGAGGGTCAGAGTGAGTGAGAGAGAGGGAGAGGAAAAGAGAGAGAGTGAGAAATCAAGCTGCCTGGTCTGGGACTCGAACCTCATTCGGCCGCATGAGAATTCAGCGCCTTTAACTAAGACACCACCTGCCGGCCCTGATAAGAATCTTGAGAATGGAGCTTGGGAAGCCCTTGGGGTCACCTTACTGACTGTGGAGCTAGGTAGGTGGCTGAAATGTCAGAATCTCAGCCTTCAGAAAAGGTTGTTCACCCCCAGTTTGACTTCTGTATTCAATACAGTTGCAAATAAGATCCTGTCAAGATTATTTTGTATAAATTAACAATCAGGTCTTTTATATTTAAAAGCAAAGACACAAAGCTACTCTGGGAAAGATCCAAGTTGGAGGAGTCTGTTACCTATTTCAAGGCTTTCTGTACAAAACCAGTAATCGCACTGTGTGGTGCTGGCAAAGTGGAGAGACTGAAAGACCAGTGGGACGGGCTAGATGATTTCAACACAGGAGCCACGGCAGTTCCGTCAAATTTAAGATAGTGTTTTCAACAAACGGTGCTGGAGTGCGTCGGTATCTATAGGCAACAGTACAAACCCAGATGGACTAGAGAAAGCCCAGTTCCCAACCCGTCATGGGCCTCGATGTGAGAGCTGTGAGACTTCTGGAGCAGAACGTGGGCCCCGTGACCTTGTCAGGCGCAGGTTCCTTGGTACCTCACCAGCAGCAGGCCTGTACGAGGAAGTGCGAATATTTATAACGTTGACTCTTTGAGAGACACAGCTAACAATATGACATTACAAGTTAAAGACAGAATTTTCAAAACTTGATAAACGAGGGGACCAGCAGCTGGGGTGGTGGTTAAGGCACTGGGCACTCCCACATGGGCGACCATGGTTTGAGCCCCAGACCTGGTGGCTTACTTTCTCACTGTCTCTCTCTTTCTCTGTGTCTCTCTCTAGACAAATTAAAATGAATGAATGAGTAAATAAATAATTTTTAAATTTTTGATAAAGGATACTTAGAATATATAAAGAATATTTTTAAGAGAATTCTCAAAACTCAATAATAAAAATCTAACTTAAAAATTGTCTGCAAATGTGATTCTTCAGTTTACCAAAGATGATAAAGCAGTGGTAAATGAACGCATGAGAAGATGTTCAGCGTTCTTAACCACGAGGGAATGAGACATGGACACACTCTACTAGAGAAGCTTAAAACCACAAAGACGCCCTCAGCTTCCTGAAGTGCGGCTGGTGACCTCCGTGCACTATTCATGCAGGACCTCAGCACCCTGGATTTCCTAGGGGGCTGTGTGAAACCAGTGTCCTCAGAGCATTGGAGACAGCTTAACAGAAGAAGAGGACGGACTTTGGCTCGCCTGTGGGAAGCGCTCTCCTGGCGCCTCCTAGTGGTGGTGCTTACCAGCACCGTTGGGAGCCTCGGGATCAATGACTGTTCTGTGTCTGGGTTTCTTTCCTTGATTCTTTCGATTTTGGGTAGTTTCTATGTGCTGTATGCTACTGCTGTGAACAGTGACATTTGTGACACACATGCCACTAGCAAGACAGTAGTCAGATCTGTTTTTCATTTTTCTATCTGCGACAGTGGGTAATTACTTCTTGTGGTTGTTGCAGGTACTCCATCTCCAAAACCAACAGTGCTAGCCAATGGTGATCATGGAGTAGAAGGGAATGACACCACAGGTAAGTGGTCTCCAGGACTCTCCAAGTGTGGGGAAACAGCCCAGGAAACACCTTGAGAAGCACCCCCGAGAAGGTTTGTTAGTGGAAATAGGGATGATTTCTGAGGCTATCGTTCTGGTTGGATGTTTTTACACATCAAATCTCCAACACTGGCTAGTGCTTGAATGTCTGTTAGGGCTAAACCACGCCAGAGTGGGGTCAGTCTTAAGGGCGCCACCGTAAGGTATAGAGTCGCATCACCAGGTAGGTCTGTGGGAAGCCTTTGCCACCACGGCGCTCAAAGGCGGTCTTCCTGGACGTACACTGAGCTCAGTGTGCATTCCACAGCGTTCCACAGGACGCACACTGAGCTCGGTGTGCGTAACAGCTCGGGGTTGGGACGCCCACCTCCTTGCCTGTCTCTCCTGCCCTCGGTCTGTTTTGATCTTTGCCGTAAGCGTCACTGTTGCCGTTTGTGTCCAGCGTGAACTGTCAGCCCCTTACTAGGGCCTGGGAGTCTATCGCTGGCACCGACTCGCTGCGGCTCCTCCCTTCCCCACCTGCCCCGCGGCCCTGAAGGG